AAACATTCCACTCATTCTCTGTAAGTTGGAACAAGTATTTCCACCTAGTTTTTTTTACTCCATGGAACAACTATCTGTACATCTTGCATATGAAGCTTATCTTGGTGGAGCTTTTCAATATAGGTGGATGTATCCGTTTTAAAGGTTCATGGGTGATTCAAAGCGATCAGTGAAAAATAAAGCTAGAGTTGAAGGATCTATATGTGCACATTACTTGCATCGGGAAACATCACATTTTGGAGTCATTATTTCAATCACTTGATGTTAACTCCTAGAATCATACGGAATCCTATAAATATCAACGAGAGAAGTCAATTCACCTTATCAGTCTTCGGGCGTCCAGGTCGTCCCTCTGGAAAGAAGGGTGTACATTGGTTGACCCAAAAACAAATGCAATCTGCACATGTCCATGTCTTGATCAATTGCGTTAAAGTTAAACTATATCTTGAATAAGTATATCCCAACTGTTTAATTTTCTTTGTAGTGTTAATATAAAACTTATTATCTTGAAACTTATAGTGTGTTTCTTTTTAGGGAATTTAACATCGCCTATTTTCATAGTGTTGGTGTACAATCAACATCTGCTGTCATTCATGCTCAATTTCGAGCATGGTTCAAGGAGAGATTGTCTAACATTGTTGCATTGACTCCAGAAATACTCCATTTGAGAAACTTGTTTGAAGGCCCTACTCAAAGTGCAAATAAATGGCACACATACTTCGTGAACGAATATAAATTTCACACTGAGACATGAACTGAAGGGAAAAAAACCATAAACAGTGGTGTATTTGTAAAAGGAGTTACAGATGGCGGTGAAGATGACTTCTATGGATTTGTTAAACATATCTACGAGTTGGTATACAATTACTTGGACTCGGAAAATAAATTTGTCTTGTTTTATTGTGAATGGTATGATCCAACTAGAGGCACAAAAATAGATAAGTCATATGGTACTGTTGAGATTCAAATGGATCGGAGGTACAAAGAGTATGACTTTTTCATAATGTCACATATTGTTAGACAAGTTTACTATGTTCCTTATCCTTCACTTGTACCATGTAAACGAGGATGGTGTGTTGTAATAAAAACAAAACCCCTGGGTCATATTGAAAGTGGAGATCTAGTGGAAGATGTTGCTTACCAAGTTAATGAAGTTCAGCAAATTAATGATGTGATTGCAGATGAACAAATTACGAGTTTGTCTGATATAATGGTTGAGAGACATCAAGTTGATGCGTCTATATTGTTGGTTGATAATAATGTGGACGGAGAGCATGATGAAGAGTTTGGATCTGAGGATAATATCACATCAGATGATGAGAATGATATGGATGACGAGCATGGAGATTTAGAATAATGAACTATTTATTAAATGTGTTAATGAATATGTATTGATGAGAATAATGAATCATCTATTGAATGTGTTAATGAATATGTATTGAAGAGAATGTATTTTTCAAATTTAGTATTTTTGTTGATGAATATATATATTAACTGTGTAATCGATATAAATAAGTAAAATGCCACCTCGAATTGATAAGAGTAAAGATAGTGGTAAAAAAAGTCCCAACGACTGAGGTTAGTAACATGTGAGGCACCTCAATCGGCCACGTGCCCTCCCCCGCAGAGTCAGGTCGATCCTATGTTCATGGCCAATACTCAGCCTTTTGTGCCATTACTCTCCTCTGAGAATATGTCATTCCCATTTGGGAGTTCTTATTTTATTAGCCCGTATGGGCTACCATCTTTTGTTAAGCCACCTGGTTTTATTTTCCCGCAGACCCAAATACCCTCATCCTTCCAGCATATCGGAGGACCCAGTTTTCCACATCCCACACAGATGCCCTCATCCTTCCAGCAGACTGGAAGATCTAGCACCCCACATCCCACACAGATGCCCTTATCCTTCCAACAGACTGGAGGATCCAACACCCCATATCCCACACAGAGCAGAGGATCTCGCACCCCACATCCCACACATGTACCTGCACGTGAGGATGATCATGCGCAACCGAATGATGATGATGATGATGATGATCATGTGGATGGGGATGACGACGTGTTAGATGGAAATGATCTTCGAGGAAATGATGATCCGAGTGAGATTCATGTCATTGACGAGAGATTTTGGATTTGACCCGAAGGAAACTCGTAAGTTTCTTATTTATAAATTTTTATTTAAGAATACATTTTCATTTTTAATATAAATTTATATTTAATATTGCTAATTTAAATTATTGTTGTTTAGTTTCTCGCCGAGTCGGACTGCTGTCAAGGTTATAAATTATATAATTCAGCAGATGTATAAACAATTTTGGAAGACCTTCAAAGATGTCAAAAATAAAGAAATCTGGTTTAACAAATTTAAGGTATAATTAATTTATTTTTTAGTTATTGTTATTTAAATTAATTTTTCATTATAATTATCTAACTATTTATTTTAATGTCATACAATATTGCAGGAAAAATGTGTGTGAGACCCATTGAACGAGAAGATGATAAAAAAATTATTATGGTAGAATCTCAAGACGACTTTCTGACATAATGCGGCGTGTTAGAGAGGGTTGGGAACTTCAGGGTATCCGTCCCAATTGGATAGGGAAAGATGTTTTTGAGGAACTTCTTAAATATTTGGAGTCACCCGAATTTCTGATTAAATCTGAAAATTTTAAGAAGATGAGGACATCTGAAAAAGGGGATTGCGTTAATGCAGTTGAAAGTATAAGTACCGCAGAGCATGTTCGACGTATGATAAATATTACCACTTTTTTAAGTTATATTTTGATTCATAATATATTTTATTAATTAATATTAATTTTATTATTTAGACCAAGAATTTGGGGAAACCTCCATTAATAATTGAGTTGGTTAAAAAGACTCGGACAAAGAAAACCAGGGATTTTATTGACGAACGCACTCTAAAAGCTTTCGTAAGTTATTTAATTTACGTTGTTGTTTATATTTTTTTATTTATATAATGACAATTTTGTGTTGTGATTTTCACGTGGCAACTCAGAAACTATGACGTGAAAATCATGTGACAATTGAGAAGCCGTGGCGTGAAAATCACGTGGCAACTTTTGTAATATAATTTAATTTAATTTAATTTAATTTAATTTATTAAATATTTAACTTAATTTTTTATTGAATGTATCAGAGGATTATCAAACATTGCTCGCAAATTTTCTGATTCATAATCTTCAATATACTCCGGGAGAGGGAGAGTCGCTTCATCCAAATGTGAATTTTTATATTTGGGATCAAGTTATTGGCGGAAAAGGCTCTAATGGTTTTTTATGGTGGAAATTTGGCGGGCACCTTGAGAAGTAGGGATAGAACTCTATTTCAAAGAGTTAGAGATGGGGAAAGGGGGTCACATCAACCAAATTTGACACCAGAACAACTTGAAATGGTAAGACAATTGACGTTAAATAAGGCGAGACGCGAGTCAGCGTAACGTGGGGCGACAATGAAAGCCCAAATAGAGGCCTAAATGGAGGCAATGAGGCAAGAGCAACAACGATAAATGGAGGTCATGGCGAAGAGGCAAGCTGATATAGAGCAACAAATAAGACAATTTATGCAAGGGTTTGGTGGAAATCAAAACTTTCGTGGTCAAGAGCCGGAGGATGACGGAAAAAAAGATAATTTTGACATTGACAATTAAACCAACCAAGATGACCTGTAAACTTTAATTTTTTTTATTTTACTTTCAAATTGAAATTTGTGTACCATACTAATTAATTAAACCTACTAATTAATTCTTAAATTTATAATTTTAGCTTATTAATTTTATTATATTAAATTTAATATATTGAATTTATTATATATTGAATTTATTATATATTGAATTTATTATATATCAAATTTATTAATTTAATTTATTATATATTGAATTTATTAATTAATATTATTAATTTAATTAATTATAAAAGAAAAACAAATTTTAATTATTAAATTTTAAATAAAAAACGAAAAATATTAGTGACGTGATTTTCACGTCACAAAGTTGTGATAATTTATGACGTGAAAATCACGTGGCAAATAAAGTAACTTTATCTTTGCATCACCTCTTTTTCTTGCAACGTTGTTAATCCTACAAAAGTATGTTGCGACGTGATTTTCATGTCACAACTATCGTGATTTTTCAAGTTGTGACGTGAGATTCACGTCGCAAATGAGAGTATTTTTTTAAATATATTTTTAAAACACAATCATTTACATTAGAATTTTTTTTTACAATAGAACGAGTTTTTTAAAGCATGCCTCTACTTCCATATTTAAATAGTTACTTCATTGCATGAGTTTGGTCTATGTTCAATATTTTTCTTTTCAATTTTGAATATATTCTTAGTATGTCTAAGGTGTCAACCTATATGTAACTTTGTCCTCTATAGTAATGAGTCTGAATACCATTTTTTACTTGAAAAAAAGATGGACTTCTTCTGTCAATATGCATAAGGGATCACAAAGTTCGAACTGTTCGAATTCTATGCTAAGTTCAAACTAACCAGTTATGCTTTATTCACAATGGTGGTAGTTATAAACAACTTATAATGCCACCTAATACCGATGAAGTGAGTTCAATATTCTGCTTATCTGAGTCCTAAAGGTAAGTGTGGTCATGATTTATTCATAAGTGTGCTCATGATTTGGAGACTGATTATCTGCTTATAATTTTTTTTTGCCTGTCATCTGATTCTATTGAGTTCTTCCAATTTGTCTTGTTTACCTGGTTCTTTAATCCAGGAAAATCGACTATGAAGAGATGAATTTATATTCTATATACTTTGAATTAATAAAGTGTTATGATCGCCCTGCAATGCTACAATTCAAGTGACAATGATTGAGACAACAAAAGACTAACTAAGTGAACAAAAATGCATTTATGTTGTCAATTAAAGATAAAATTTACTCAGGAGAAAGCAAATAAAAACTGTGGCATTAACCTTATTCTAATATGAAAAAGAAAGAGGCGAAGAAGAAAAATAAAAATAGAATCACTCATGGTCATGGTTTCTCTTCATCTTCATCTTCTTTAATTTGGCCACTTTTATTACAATTGCCACATATATCTCATCACCAACATCTTCCACCCATCTGAAGTAAGCATGTCTCCAATTCTTCTTGAACCACAAAGTGAAAATAACTCCCCATAACCCAGTCCCAAAGCCGAGTGCTATCACAAAGTAGAACCATACTTTTTCTATCCCATCTTCATCCTCATTACCTTTGCTTTCAGAAGCTCCATGTGAAAGATCACCAGGGCACGTGTTTGGAAGTGGAGATCCACAAAGGTATGGGTTGTAAGCATAAATAGACGGGTCATTAAAAGTTGAGAACTGATTATCTTTAGGAACTGGTCCTGAGAGATTATTGTGAGACAAGTTTAAATGACTCAATGAAGTTAAAGCAGACATGGTGTTGGGAATTTTTCCTGAAAGTTGGTTATGAGACATGTCCAAGGATTCTAGTGATTTCATGTCTCCTATCAATTGAGGGATCTCTCCTGTCAATTGATTTTTTGACAAGCTCAAACCATGAAGACCTGTGAGAAAAGTGATTTCATCAGGAATGACTCCAACCAAATTATTTTCTGACAAGTCCATGTGAACTACAAGCTTCAAGATTTTAGTATAGTTAAGTTCCACTCCTTTCACCACTTCCATGGCGTCTTGACTAGACCATCCTTCAGAAGAAGGAGCTACTGCAAATGGTATTGGAGACGTTGCTGGAACCAATGGTGTTAATTTCATCCCTTCAAGGTTTTCTATGCATGGAGGTATCGAGCCATGTAATTTGTTTCTAGAAAGGTCCAAAATTTTGAGGGACTTGAGTTGACATAACTGCGTAGGAATGCTTCCATTCAACATGTTTTGCCGCAATCTAATAATTTGCACTAGAGGAAATGTGTCTATTGTCCATGATGATGGTATACTTCCAGAAAACTGATTCTCACCAAGATCCAAAATCAACAACTGTTTCAAATTTCTAAAAGACACAGGAAGCTCTCCTTGAAGATTATTATTGTTCAAATGCAACCAAAGCAGTACGGGAAGATTCCCAAATGAGTTTGGGAATGCTCCGGTTAGTTTGTTAGATGACAAGTTTATCTCAGACAACATTTCTAGACTATCCTCCCAACAATTTGGAATTTCACCCGACAAGTTATTCTTTGAAAGGTCAAGGATGTTAAGTGGAATTTGGCACAAAGAGATGGGGATTGAACCATTTAAGTGGTTATTTCCTAAAAACAAGCCCTCTGAAAAAGACAATGATATAAGACTAATACTTTTTGGAAGTGAACCACTTATTTGATTATGGGAGAGATTCAAATACTGCAAATTTAAATGACATCCTTTTTCCATAGACATTGTTCCATCCAGCATATTTGAAGAAACATCTAAATGAAATAAGTTAACAAGTTGACAAAGACTTTTAAGAACAAAACTATTAAAATTATTGTTTGAAAGGTCAAGATACTCTAAATTTGTAAGTTTTCCTAGGCTTTCTGGAATAGAACCATCTAATTTATTAGAAGAGATGACTAAGATACGTAAAGTGACAAGTTGGCAAAGACTTTCCCAAATGACCCCATTAAAATAATTGTTTGAAAGATAAAGATAACCTAGATTTGCAAGTTTTCCAAGGTTTTGAGGAATTGAACCATGAAACTTATTAGAAGAAAGACGTAAGTAAGTTAAATTGACAAGTTGACCTATACTTTCAGGAATGAGCCCATTAAAAGAATTGTTTGAAAGATCAAGATAACGTAGATTTGTAAGTTTCCATAGATTTTGAGGAATTGAACCATAAAACTTATTAAAAGAAAGATGTAAGCTGGTTAAATTGACAAGTTGACATATACTTTCAAGAATGAGCCCTTCAAATATATTATTGGAGAGATATAGCTCATGCAGTTTTGACAACTTTCCTATTGACAAAGGGATAGGTCCATGGAGATAATTTGAAGTAAAATCAAGATATTTTAGATTTTCAAGTTTCTCCAACCAAGTTGGCAGGTGGCCACTGATATGATTATACCCTAAATCCAAGTACTCCAAATCATATCTAATACATTTAGATATTTCAAAGTGTTCCATTGATTCTATATAAAGCTTGTTTGTTGATAAAATCAAAAATTTTAGGCGGCACATGGAATTTATGATTGATGATAGAAAGTAATCTTTTAGTGCGAGTTGATTCCAACTAAGATCAAGGTACACAAGTCTCTTCAAATCAACAAACCTTGATGGAATTGAAGTTAAACTATTTTGAGAAAGGTCAAGGAATTCAATGAAAGTCATGTTTGGAAAAGCCTCTGGAATTGGACCATAGAGCTCATTGAATGAAAGATCAAGGTACACAAGTCTCTTCAAATCGACAAACCATGATGGAATGAAAGTTAAACTATTGCGAGAAAGATCAAGATGAGTAAGTTTTTCAAAGTTGCAAAACCATGATGGCACTAATGTGAAATTGTTTCCAGAAAGATAGAGTGATTCAATGGAAGTCATGTTTTGAAAAGACTCGAGAATTGGACTAGAAAGCATATTAAGTGAGAGATCTAGATAGACAAGAGATGTCATGTTTTGGAAAGCATGAGGAGGAATGAGTGAATTGTCAAGTTCACAATCATCTAAGGAAAGATGCAACAAGGATGGGAGTAAATTGAGTACCTGGAATAAGTTGTGTGTGTCCTTGATGTGAACAGAAGTCAAGTCAAGGTGATTGAGTGAATGAAGTTTAGATATCCAAGTGGTGTCCCCGTTCAATTGTAATGAGGGGCTAAAATCATAATTGAAGCTGAGATCAAGAAATTGTAGGCTTTTAAGATTTCCGAGACTGATGGGAATGTTTCCGCTAAAACCAGCGTCTGAGAGAGAGAGATGCTCAAGGCGTCCCATGGAACCAATGAACATAGGAATTGAACTTCTACTGAAATGATTTCCAGTCAAGTCCAAATAAGTCAAGTGTTCCAATTGTAGCAAAGACGAGCTGACATTTGGAGATTGTACCGACATACAGGCCATTTGACCATACAAATTGTATTGAACGTAGAGATAAGGTTCTCGTGGCTGCCGATATGGCGAGTAACAAGGATTTCTGAGATCAAGTTTGACAACATGTCCAGTGGCATTGTCACAGCCAATGCCTTCCCATTGGCAACAGTAAGTACCTTTCCATGAGGTAAGCCTGTTTGATGAGTGTTGTGAAATGGATGCTTTGAAATCAACAAGGGCTTGTCTCTCTTTTTCTATGCAAGGGACATTTGAATTTGCACACAAGCATGATTGTGAAATTATAACCAACACCAAAAGTAGTACTACACATTTGTAATATCTTGCCATGTTTTTTCTCTGTTTTTATTTGGAATTGGTTGATGGTTTTCATTTTACTCACACAACTTATATATATATATAATACAATACAACTACCATTTTCAATTGTAGCAATTAAATACAACTTCCTCGAAGCATCAAACTCAACCAAACATCACGGCAAGCTTTTTATAAAAGAATACTTAGTATTTAAAAATAATGTATTTTAGTGACACATTTTTTTCCAGAAGATATTTATATTTAGATATAGAGTAGTAGTGAATTACTGACCATACAATTTTTTCTTTTTTAGTTAAATCAATATAATATATTTTTTTAGGTTCAAATATGTCAATCGACTTTCTAAATTAGCGAGAAGGACAATTGGTGTATTATAATTTTTTTCAAATGATACATAGGAAAATTTTACCCTATATCTACAATTATCCTTCTACTCCTACAATTTTGAAAAGATTTTAAGTATATTCTTTTTCTATTTTCACTCTTATGTTTTATTTTTTATTATTTTTACTGTTCATTTTGACACATGTGAAATTGACAAGTGTGCATCCATTACTGTAAATTGGATAATGTGCGATGCATAATTATGGTATGTTTATTTTCTAAATCAGAACTCTTTGATATATAACTTCCGATTTACATTTCATATCAATCAGATAACTATTGTGACTGAAATCCGGTTCGTTTGTTAATAATCAGATAACCTGGTTGTGCGTTTTTCGGTTTGTAATAATCATCAATCGAAAATCATTAATCAATATATTCCGGTTTTGATATTTATACCAACCGGATTTCTATTACACTAGTATTTCAGTGCTTTTTTTCTTCATTTTTTAAATTTTTTTAATGTTGTTAAACATGTGATACTCCTTTGATATGCGCTAAAAATCATACATGTGTAGATACCACTGAAATATGTTCATCAACACAACGATTTGCTACAAAAGAAGAGGCGATAAGGTGGATTAGGGAAGTTGAAATCAGGAATAAAGTGACAGTTATAATAACTCGTTCAGATACCAAAACAAACAAAAAAGGAAGAAGTGATAAAGTAATATTTGGTTGTGAAAGAAATTTCTACTGTATACACCCAGAGAAATCAAGGAAGAATGGAGCGCCGACCAGCGGTAGAGGCTGTGATGATCCAGAACTCTTCAGTCGATCAACCTCAAAGAAGCCAACCCAGAGCTAACCAGAATAGGGTGGAAAGGCCGCAACAGCAATTCACTCGGATCAATATGACACCTGCTCAGGTCCTCCCTCATTTGTTAAAGTTAAACCTTACCAATTTGAAAGAAGCGCCGAAAAACCCTAATACCTCATCTCCTTATTATCATTCCAATGCAAAATGTGCATATCATTCGGACAGTGTGGGGCATGACACCAACAACTGTTGGACCCTTAAAAACAAGATCCAAGATCTGATAGACGCCAAGGAGGTAGAGTTTGATGCTCCCGAGAAACCTAATTTGATATCCGCTCCCATGCCGAAACATGGTCATAATGTCCATGCTATCCTAGAAGACCTCCATGTTACCTTTGTTGATGACCTTTTGACCCTGTTACCAGTGATTAAAGTGAATTTGATGAAAGCCGGGATATTCCCAGGCTGTGGAAAAGACTGTTACTTTTGTTCAAACATGCAAACTAACTGCCCACTGTTGAAATCAGGCATCCAACGCCTGATGGATACCCAAGAGATCCTCTTCCAGAAGACTCTTGTTGATACTATCACTCCTGTTACTCCTGCTACCTTTGTTACTCCTATCAATGACATTGCCATAATAACCATCTCCGACAATCTTCCCAAGACCTGCAAAAGGCCTGTCAAGATTACGCCTAATCCTAAGCTTGTGCCACTAAAAATCACCATGCCGGGGCCTGTCCCATATAAATCTAACAAGACGATACCATGGAATTACGGAGGAGAAATCTTCTACCATGGTGTCAAGCAGATAGAATCAGTCCAAGAGAATTCTGATGATGAAACCCCTGATATAGGGAATATTGCAGGAACAAGCAAGATAACTCGTAGCGGAAGGATCTTCTCTCCGGAGATTGCTCCTCCACGGGCAGTCTTCGGACCCTCGAAAGCTTCTGTAACTGTTAAGCCATCTGTGCAAAGCCCGGTAATTGAAGAACTGAATGCTCCCAAAGCTAGACCCTCTGTTGGTACTACCGATAAGGGTAAGGGGATACTAGAAGCGCCTGTCAGGATGAAGGCTCAGACTGTGGTAATCCTCGAGACCACCCAGAAAGAAATGGAAGAAATCTTAAAGATAATCAAGAAGAGCGACTACGATGTTGTGGAATAGCTAGGGCAGACCCCTTCCAAGATCTCCATGTTAGCTCTCCTACTCTGCTCTGAGGCTCATGCTAAGGCCTTAATCAAATTTTTAAAGACGGCACACGTGCCTCAAGAAACTTCTGCTGACCAGTTTCAAGAGTGCGTGACTAGCCTTACAACTGATAACGACCTTGGTTTTTCTGATGCTGATTTGACTCCTAAGGGAAGGAAGCACAACGACGCGCTGCATATCTCGGTAGAGTGCAGAGGGACTACACTTGCCCATGTCCTGGTTGATACCGGTTCATCTTTGAATGTCCTACCGAAGAAGGCGTTGGATAGGCTAGACTGTGAAGGTTTGACTTTAAAACCCAGTAACATCATTGTTAGAGCCTTCGACGGTTCTAAGCGGATGGTTCACGGAGAGGTGGACATCCCAATCAAAGTGGGTACCGAGACCTTCAACTCTACTTTTTATGTGATGGACATCCGTCCTTCATATTCATGCTTGTTGGGAAGGCCATGGATTCACTATGCTGGGGCAGTTACTTCCTCTCTGCACCAAATGCTAAAGTATCTTGTTCAGGGTAAGATCATCACGGTGCACGGTGAGGAAGAGTACATGATAAGTCACCTCAACTCCTTTCGCTATGTGGAGTTGGATGGCGAATTCATAGAAACGCCTTTCCAACATTTCGAAGAGGTGTCTCCTGAAGTCGCAGTTGCAAAGACAATGACTGATGTGCCTATCATTTCCAAGCCGGTGTCCCAAATGTCATCCCTCAAGGATGCAGAGGTTGTAATCAAAGAAGGAAGAAGTACAGTGTGGGGGCAACTGCCTGATTTTCCTCACAAGACGGACAAGTTTGGATTAGGTTTTACTGCAGCTGGACAGAAAGTTGTGCGTCACTCCCGGGCTGGAGGACCACCCTTTAAAATCACTCACCATGGAATTAATGCCTTAAAAGATGATGATGAAGAAGACAACTTTGAAGATTGGATCTTCCCAACCGTTGAAAGAGGGTTAAGCAATTGGGAAGCGAAAGACTTTGTTCCCATCACTTTCATCCACCAGTAATTTATCTTTGAACAATTTCCTATTTTGGTCTGTAATAATTAAACAATTCGTACACACTCTTTTCACGTTATGCCTTACCCGGGGCATATAGGTCCTTTTGTAAGAGTTTGATTTCTTCATTATCATATGCCATGTTTAATGAATCATTGGACGTTTTCATCTATAAACTTTTGTGTTCATTTTCTTTCCTTAGACATTTTGTTTTGTTTAAGGATGGCTATCCCTTACACACACCCATACTCACAAAATGCAGGTACCCATCCACTCCAGATTCCATGGGTGACTATTCTGCTTTGGCCTTCAGCGACTCTGAAGATTTTGTCAATCACGCCGAGTACGAAGGTGATGAAGACTGTGAAGTGCCTGGGGAGTTAGCTAGAATTTTGCAACAAGAGGAAAGGGCTATTCTGCCCCATGAAGAGTTGCTAGAGACCATCAACTTGGGAACAGAGGAAGACAAGAAAGAGGTAAAGGTGGGTGCCAACCTGGAACCAAGTGTCAAAGAGCACTTAGTACAGTTGTTGAACGAATATGTTGAAATCTTCGCCTGGTCCTATGAAGACATGCCGGGACTAGATACAGATATCGTGGTTCACCGTCTCCCTACAAGAGAATACTGTCCGCCGATCAAACAAAAGGTCCTCCGAATGAGGCCCGACATGTCTGAGAAGATCAAAGCTGAGGTGATGAAGCAATTCAATGCTGGTTTTCTGGTTGTTACTTCCTATCCACAATGGGTTGCTAACATTGTGCCCGTGCCTAAGAAGGACGGCAAAGTCAGAATGTGTGTGGATTACAGAGATTTAAACAGGGCTAGCCCTAAAGATGATTTTCCACTACCACACATTGACATCTTGGTTGACAATACAGCTCAACACAAGGTATTTTCCTTCATGGATGGATTCTCGGGATACAACCAGATCAAAATGGCCCACGAAGACATGGAGAAAACTACTTTTGTCACGCAGTGGGGTACCTTCTGCTATAAGGTGATGCCATTCAGACTGAAGAATGTCGGGGCAACCTATCAACGTGCCATGGTAGCTTTATTTCATGACATGATACATCATGATATTGAAGTCTACGTAGACGACATGATAGCCCGTTCACAGACGGAAGAATAACACCTTGATCACCTGCAAAAGCTGTTTGTTAGATTGAAGGAATACAAGCTCAGACTGAATCTTAGCAAGTGCACTTTTGGAGTCAGGTCTGGTAAACTTTTGGGATTTATCGTCACCAACAAAGGCATTGAGGTTGATCCCGCTAAAGTCAAAGCTATACAAGAAATGCCTGCCCCCCGCACTAAAAAGGAGGTTAGAGGTTTCTTGGGACGCTTAAACTATATTGCGAGGTTCATCTCTCACCTAGCATCTACCTGTGAGCCAATCTTCAAGCTGTTAAAGAAAGATCAGGTAGTTGAATGGAACAATGATTGCCAAGTTGCTTTTGATAAGATCAAGGAGTATTTGCTGGAACCTCCTATATTGATGTCGCCCGTCGAAGGAAGGTCGTTAATCATGTATCTGACTGTTTTGGATAACTCAATGGGGTGCGTACTAGGCCAACATGACGAGTCTGGCCGAAAAGAGCATGCCATTTATTACCTTAGCAAAAAGTTTACCGAATGTGAGACTCGCTACT